AGATTATTTACAGACCGCCCTCATATAGCTGGAATATTGCTGAGTGCAGCGTTAAACAACAAACAAACAAACAACAGCATTACCCAAGAGTACCCAGCCGCCCTCAATACCATTATCTCAGTAGACGAAAGAGAAACATCAGGGTTGAAGAAAACAGTTGCCATGTTTACGTGCCAAATTTCCTAACTAGGTCAATATAGGACAGCAAGTTGTGACCCTTCTTTTCCTTATTTTCATGACCGACAATTATATCCCCAATTTACTTAAAAAAACATATTTATTTAATTTTATTTCACTTGGACAACCGACTCTACAGTTTTGGGACACATTCGTAAAACTTTTAGAGGGTAGAAAAAGGATGCCAATTTGCCACTGCAAATTCTTGGAATTCCTATCCATGATGTCGTGGTCGACTGCGACGACGTGTTGACCCATGGTCGATGCTGGTATGTTGTTGCAGTATTTAGAAGACGGTATTAAGACGTATATATATAAGTACATGTTAGATATTTGATGAGCGCTTCCAGTGGAGGGGATTTCGTACTCGGTTGCCAGGTCGGTGCAAGATGAACATCATATTGGTAGGTGCGCTGCATGGCGTGGCACAAGAACGAATAATAACAACAACAACAACAACAACAATAACAATAATAATAATGATGATGATGATGATAATAATGTACTCATATTTGCTATTGGAAAATTGATAGTCCGGATTTAAAAAGGAAGAGGAATATTTCCTTGCCTAAACTATGCCGCCATGGTTACAAAGCGTTTTCTACCTTAGGAGAAAATAAAGAAATTAAATAAAAACAGGTCGTGTGATGAAGTCATTTTAAAAATACGTTTATGTTGAGAAAGTTAATTGTTTAGTTGAAGGCCTTCCGTCAATAAGTGGTATTGATATATTACAGAAGATAAAATGGCTACAAGACGTTTAAAGATTGGGTTACATTGATTAGATTAACGACTGTGCGATTTTTTATTTAAGTTTTATTATGAAGAACTATATCATGTATACATTTGATGTAGAAAATCATCCGACACACACATCCATTGTCTATACGTTTCATTGTTTAAAGTTGACTTGGGCGAATAGGTCGGATTGACAAACGGATGTCAGCATGACATGCACCATTCGGATCAACTCAGTCCATGTTGGTAGCGGAATAAGTCGATGGAACCTGAGTGAGACACGCGGGTTATAACACGGAGGAGAGTAAACACTTCAACAAGCGTATATTCAGAGTCAACGGTTTGTTGTGATCACACAAGACATACATTGTAACATTGTTTTGAACCATGGTGACAAACTGTTTGATTTGGGATCTGGATCTGTGCCTGGACCCGTTGCTGAATAAATATCCTATTAACGCCGTGTAGGACGGCAAGGGTGTGCGAACATTGCGTCACAAGTAGCCGCATTTTGATTGGCTGACGGCGGCGAGACAACCAATCAGAACCAACTATAAAGAACAATTACAGATACCAGATTACCCAGATACCATAACAAAAAAAATGTTTCTTGGTTTCTGATATACCACAGCGTGGCTTTATGTTTTTATGCACACAGCGTTGTAGTTTCTCTAGAAACCGACAAACACATACACTACATGTCGGTTAAGAAACTCTAGTTATTCATTAACCTGTTTAAATCACATACAATGAATGTTGTGGGAGAATTGCTCTATTATTCTCCAATGAGACAATCCATTATGCGACTACATATTGACCCAATTGATCCCACCCGTCAATCACATACAATGGTCACATTGTTTGTATTTATAACATGCTTTTGTGTATTCACCCTATATTTTCACATAAATCAATATCTTATCAAGACATTATACTAGCCTTGTGATGATATGACTTTTGTGTATTGATGTTGACTGATTTTTGTGTGATACGTAATGTGTGTTTTCTTTGAAAGGATTTGGCGATAAAGGTAACTCTGTGTTTGTATTCCAACCTTATTATAACCCCTCTAGTCCTGCCCATCCTCGGTTATCAGGGGCATTATATATCCATTCCGGGCAATGTAAAGTATACACCTAAAAATTGGATTTTGCCAACAAATTAAGCAGTTATCAAAACGTTACTAGGCTAAAAACAGTCGCCGAAACACTGCAAACTTAATATCCAAAACGTAACTATGATACATCAAATACGTCACCGCCGAATAACTATTTCTTGTTTGTATAATTTTAGATTTCATCAAAGTTGGGTGTATACTTTCTTTTCCCCGGCAATAAATTATGATAAATACCTTGGACCCATTCTCAACTCAGCTTCGTTTTAAACAAGGTTGGTATGGCTCGACGCTACAAATTGCCGTCCAATCAAATTACTCCGAGGAGCGAGAGAAATCCTGTGCTAAATTAGAGATAGGAGAAGCGGAGATCACGAAACGAAGCTATTGTGGCGAATGGGCTCAGGGTATTTATCATAGATATATAATACAATGGATAAACGAGGATGAGTCCTTCCTTCCTAACTAATGTCTACAGTTCATTGATTTAACAAACCTGTTGAGTGTGAGCCACGTTGGTGCTGAATGTGTTTAAAAGTATGGGGTATTCGTTGCATTAACGTTTACTATCTTGATATCTGTGGGCTGCGTATTTTACACCCTCATTCTTATAGTACATCTAGCAGTTATACAGGAACACCTAGCAGTTATACAAGTTCACCAAGCAGTTACACAAGTACACCCAGCAGTTATACAAGCACACCCAGCAGTTACACAAGTACACCCAGCAGTTATACAAGTACACCCAGCAGTTATACAAGTACACCAAGCAGTTATACAAGTACATCAAGCAGTTACACAAGTACACCCAGCAGTTATACAAGTACACACAGCAGTTATACAAGCACACCCAGCAGTTATACAAGCACACCCAGCAGTTACACAAGTACACCCAGCAGTTACACAAGTACACCCAGCAGTTACACAAGTACACCCAGCAGTTAAACAAGCACACCCAGCAGTTACACAAGTACATCTAGCAGTTTTACAAGTACACCCAGCAGTTATACAAGTACACCCAGCAGTTATACAAGTACACCAAGCAGTTATACAAGTACACCAAGCAGTTACACAAGTACACCCAGCAGTTATACAGGAACACCTAGCAGTTACACAAGTACACACAGCAGTTATACAAACACACCCAGCAGTTACACAAGTACATCTAGCAGTTATACAAGTACACCCAGCAGTTATAAAAGTACACCCAGCAGTTATACAAGTACACCAAGCAGTTATACAAGTACACCAAGCAGTAACACAAGTACACCCAGCAGTTACACAAGTACACCCAGCAGTTATACAAGTACACCCAATAGTTACACAAGTACACCCAGCAGTTACACAAGTACACCCAGCAGTTATACAAACACACCCAGCAGTTACACAAGTACATCTAGCAGTTATACAAGTACACCCAGCAGTTATACAAGTACACCAAGCAGTTATACAAGTACACCAAGCAGTTATACAAGTACACCAAGCAGTAACACAAGTACACCCAGCAGTTACACAAGTACACCCAGCAGTTATACAAGTACACCTAGCAGTTATACAAGTACACCCAGCAGTTATACAAGTCTCCTTGTGTCTGTATAGCTGTTATACTGTCTGCTCTGCCTAACAGGCCCCTTGTGTTTGTATGTTATAACATTTATACTGTCTGCTCTGCCCAATAGTCCCCTTGTGTTTGTATGTTATAACTATATACTTTCTGCTCTGCCCATCAGCCCCCTTGTGTTTGTATGTTATAACTATTATACTATCTGCTCTGTCCAATAATCCCCTGTGTCTGTACGTTATAACTATTACACTGTCTACTCTGCCCAACAGTCCCCTTGTGTTTGTATGTTATAACTATTATACTTTCTGCTCTGTCCTATAGTCCTCGTGTGTCTGTTTGTTATAACTATTATACTGTCTGCTCAACCCAACAGTCCCCTTCTGTTTGTACGTTATAACTATTATACTGTCTGCTCTGCCCAACAGTCCCCTGTGTTTGTATGTTATAACTATTATACTGTCTGCTCTGCCCAACAGCCCCCTTGTGTTTGTATGTTATAACTATTATACTGTCTGCACTGCCCAACAGTCCCCCTGTGTTTGTATGTTATAACTATATACTTTCTGCTCTGCCCAACAGCCCCCTTGTGTTTGTATGTTATAACTATTATACTGTCTGCTCTGCCCAACAGTCCCCCTGTGTTTGTATGTTATAACTATATACTTTCTGCTCTGCCCAACAGCCCCCTTGTGTTTGTATGTTATAACTATTATACTGTCTGCTCTGCCCAACAGTCCCCCTGTGTTTGTATGTTATAACTATATACCTTCTGCTCTACCCAATAGTCCCCTTGTGTTTGTATGTTATAACTATTATACTGTCTGCTCTGCCCAACAGTCCCCTTGTGTTTGTATGTTATAACTATATACTTTCTGCTCTGTCCTATAGTCCTCGTGTGTCTGTTTGTTATAACTATTATACTGTCTGCTCTGCCCAATAGTCCCCTTCTGTTTGTATGTTATAACTGTTATACAGTCTGCTCTACCCAATAGTCCCCTTGTGTTTGTATGTTATAACTATTATACTTTCTGCTCTGCCAAATAGTCCTCTTGTGTTTGTATGTTATAACTATATACTTTCTGCTCTGCCCAACAGTCCCCTTCCCTTGTGTTTGTATGTTATAAGTAAATACTTTCTGCTCTACTCAATAGTCCCCTTGTGTTTGTATGTTATAACTATTATACTGTCTGCTCTGTCCAATAATCCCCTGTGTCTGTACGTTATAACTATTATACTGTCTGCTCTGCCCAACAGTCCCCTTGTGTTTGTATGTTATAACTGTATACTTTCTGCCCTGCCCAACAGTCCCCTTGTGTTTGTATGTAATAACTATATACTTTCTGCTCTGCCCAATAGTCCTTGTGTGTCTGTATATTATAACTGTTATACCAAATGTTCTCACATTAGTCCAAATGTGCCAAGAGATTCCAGGAGGTGAGTGTTATTCTACAATGACTCACTCTCTCACAACACCGGGTCATTGATTTCCACAGGGGCACACGTTTGTTTGTTTGATTGTTGTTTAACGCCGCACCCAGCAATATTCCAGCTACAAGCATAGTCGCCTTTTACGGCAAGCTGGGCTGTGATATGTTTGTATCAGAACAATACTTAGAGTATAGGTTGGTACAATGAGTGAGGCCCATTTCTGGTGCCCCCCCCCCCCCCCCCCCCCCCCCAGTGATATTGCTGGAGTATTGCTAAAAGCGGCGTTAAACCATACTCACTCACTCACTTAGAGTATGGGCAAGATATATTGTTTAAACGAACACGTAATATGTAGCTGTCCCGTAAAACCTCTGCTCGCAGCCCAATATCTGTATCATGCGATTGTATAACTCCTGTTTAAGGAAGTCATTGAGCGATATCCAAAGGCTGGAAGACCTAAATTAACACGTGACCTAAACACGTCATTAAGGAATCCCTTTTCAAACGACACCAGTGTTACCACTTAACGTGTGTAGAAAAACACGGTGACGCTAAAAATAGCATGATTATGCAAGCCTCCTTTCGGAATAAGCGGCACTTGGAATGAATGTTCGATGGCTTCCTTAAAAGTCAACAGCCATGGCGTCAAGATTGTCATGTAGTCCCTGCATGGTTTGTAACCAGTCACTTCACAGCAAGCACAGAACTGGTTCAAATAGGCAAATAAAATGATTACCCTGCTTACGATTAACATCGTTGTGCTAACTTAATATGAAGCATATTGTAGTTTCAACGAAAGCCTTTCAGACGGGACCAGTTCATAGTGTATTCTACAATGTTTCTGGCCAATGAGACCTTGGCTCGAAAGACTAAAGTTAGCCTTAGAGCTAATGACGCTTTGTGTAAGTTGGCCCAGCCGTCTTCGGTGATGCAGAAACTCGATAGGATAGATCCACGGCACACAATCAGCACTGGTTTCATGCACTGCGTTCAACACTGACCGCGGTCATTCGGAGTTTCAGCTGAACATATTTCCAAGGCCACAACAAATTCATTATTTGGTTTTCAGAACTTGTCAATGCATACCACATGATCAAAAACGAGCCCTTTAACTCTTGTAGAAATAAACCAGTTCATAATTTTTTTTGTCACTATGCCCCCTATTTGTCAGCAATATAAATCATAAGTCATATAAATTGTCAGCGTCTAATTAAACTGGACATAAATATCGCTGATGTGGAATTTTGTTTCATACGCCTATGTAAGTTATTCTTATTATGTTAATGAACTAAAAGACAATTTTTCTTCAGAAACCCGATCAATTACTTGGTGGAAATGGATTCCAAAGAACAAATAATTAATTAGTTGTGGCCTTTGTATCTCTTCTAGGATATCTAGTATCTCAGAGACTCTAGAGTAGCAGCATGCATTGTATGTGTTGTATCAGGGCTAGACTAGCACTCATAGAAGTCATCCAGTGTAAGACTATAGACTACGGAGGAATTGAAGTAGCATCCTTGGTATTCATTAACAGTAATGCCAGAATAAGCGTCCTTGATATTCATTAACAGTAATGCCAGAATTAGCAGCCTTGGTATTCATTAACAGTAATACCAGAATTAGCATCCTTGGTATTCATGAACTGTAATGCCAGAATTAGCATCATTGGTATTCATGAACTGTAATGCCAGAATTAGCATCATTGGTATTCATGAACTGTAATGCCAGATTTAGCATCCTAGATATTCAATAACAGTAATGCCAGAATTAGCATCCTAGGTAATCAATAACAGTAATGCCAGAATTATATCACCGCCTATAAGGCATGCTGAGCTTGATGGAATGAGATGTTTAGTTCATTGTTCTCTAGTTAAGTGCATTGCAGGCCATAGGCCCATGATACAAACGTAAAATGTACAGTGGAAGTTCAAGGGTCACACTTATATATTTGCTGCAGATACAGCGGCAATGAATATAGACAGATGTTTTTTTCCAGTTATTTTTTTTAGGACTGTAAGTATGTGCGTTAAGAAGAAATGTTTCTAATTTGTACCAATTAATGACAAAACTAACAATAAGCTAAGTGTAACCAAATAACGAACTTATTCTTATCATGATATGATGCACGTGATTTCCAAAGTTACACGTTTATCATGCGCGAGACAAATGGTGCATCTCGAGTCATGGATCCATGGCGTCACATGTGATGTATTCATGAGCGTCGGTTCACACAACATACCAGTATGTTCGTTTGTGCATCTAATATATCTTGAATATGAAATTCGGCCCTCAAACGGAAACATTTGCATAATACAAAACAATGGTACTCATCTTTAACCTAATTATATTTACATAAATGCAACTCTTTTTGTTCCATTTTTTAACAACACACTTCATCTGCATTCTCGTACAACAAAGCATACCTCGATAATCCAGTGTACTGTCTCCAAATTATCCGTCCAGTCAAATTACATTCATTGGCGAAAGAAATGCCGTGCAAAGTTAGAGAAAGGAAAGATGGAGATGACGTCACTTCCTGAACGCAGCTATGGTAGTGAATGGAACCAGGGTGTGTATCAACAGCTCGATCTCTATTATCGCCAACTTTGGACGGAATATCTTCCGCTCATGACAGTACTTTGACTTTATTGGAGTTAGTGACGTCACTTCCGGAAGGAAACTATGGGTGAATGGGCCCAGTTTATATATCAAAACAAAATGGAGATATTCCTGGATAATCGAGGGTGTTTGTTTTGTTGCAATACAATCAGTTGTGCACATTGTACACACGACCCGTGAAGATCCCGAGTGGAATAGGTCTTCAGCAACGCATGCTTGCCGTAAAAGGTGACTATGCTTGCCGTTAAAGGTGACTATGCTTGCCGTAAAAGGCGACTAACGGGATCGGGTGGTCAGGCTCGCTGACTTGGTTGATGCATGTCATCGATCCCAATTGCGTGGATCCATGTTCATGATGTCAATCACTGGATTGTCTAGTCCAGCCTCGAGTATTTACAGACCGCCGTCATATAGCTGGAATATTGCTGAGGGCGGCGTTAAACAACAAACAAACAAACAAAACATTGTACACACGTTATGATACGCATATTTCAGGAGGACTGGACCCCGCAAAAGCATCCAAAGACTTCGTGGTGGAAGTTCTTAAAGTAAGTGGGTACACGAATGCATGCTAAAAGTTAATGTGAAACAAACCAACTCATCATGTTCACAAAAACTACACCGGTGACGTTTTGCCAAATTATATAATGCATCTTTCCAAAAGTATCCGTAATCGGATTAAATTACCAGGGCCCCGTTTCAAAAAGCAATTTTAGCACTACGGTCGTAGTTTTCGCAACTTCAGTACAATGACAGAGATATGAAAAGGTCCTTATCCCCAATGTACTATTCTGATTTTTGGTTGTCAGCACCAAACCCCAGGGAGTCAATACCTGAACCAATTCGGGGTTGTCTCCCACATTAAGATGACACGTCCTGATGTAACTGTAAAACTGTTCAAAAGGGCGTTAAATCAACCTCACTCAAACTGTACATATAAAAATTATGCATTTCATGTTTTTATTAATAACGAGACAATTAAAATATTTTCTCAGAAAATTGGCAAGCAGCCAAACTTGACGGAGGAGGATGAAGCGCGTATTGTCGCCGCCTACGTTGCTAAAAACACGTCTCACGACAAGGGCTGGTACAGGATGAACGCCATCAGGAACCTCACAGGGGGTCCCCGCCTCGTTCCAACAACCAATGAGAGACAGGATAAGGTGAGGGAGCGGTCATTGTTCAATACGTATCCCACATACATAATCTGTGACTCCTTACATACAATGTTGAAATCAGGGAGCAGTCATTGTTCAAAATGTATCTCACATGTTGCTAACCTCTCTGATGATGCACCGAGCTTCAAAGCTCTGTCAAAGTGTCAAAGAAGAATGTGTCGAGTGTTGTCCTTGCCGTCGTCTAAAAATAATAAGATTGGTCGAGTCATGGACACTCGACTCGTTCGTGTTTCCCGGTTCACAACTTTCATGATGTTTTTTGAAGGCGCTTGTGAGGGCTACACTCCATCAGAACTCTACTGGAAGTGGGATTCGTAGTACATGTACATCTTCCCGAAGCAAGGGAGTTAACTGACAAGTCCAGTTTCCACCCTTGCTGAAATAGGCTGGAATTATTGAGTTTTTTTTTGGCTTGACTGACGAGTCGCATATGCATATCGCATATCGTCCCCATCCAGTTTGTAAACTGCCTTGCAGATTTCGGTCGATTGCAGGATTTGCAAAGCATGCGTACCGCCAACTCGTCGTCAACAGATATTTTCCAAATCATTCAAATGTTTTTAATCAAAGTGATGACATGATTTGATGCAATTTTCGAAGTAAGACCTGTTTAAGTACAATATAGATCTTGATTATCGATCAGATCGTCTTGACTGGGCGCCGCCATTTTGATGCAAATGCAAGTGATATGAGAGGTGGTACATGATTGGTCAATAGGAGAGACATACAGGGGACAAAACTCGTAATAGCCATCGGTGGCGCTACGATCGAGCCTAGTTCGGCAAGGGTGGAAACTGGACTTTTAAAATCAGTTCACTCTCTTGCCTCTGGAAGATGATCTATTTATGACCGACTAGTCAATGTTGGATAGTAAAAGAGGCAAAGTTCATAGCTACGATTTGGCAGCAGAACCATTTAAACTACATTTGACACACATCATTCCTTGCTGGGGTTTCGGACATCCCGCAATACATTAAAAAAACTCCTCATTGTTCATGACATTACTGACATACCTCATTGTACAAAACTAACAATTAATAACATACTTTATTGTTCATGACATTACTGACATATCTCATTGTTCATGACATTACTGACATATCTCATTGTTCATGACATTACTGACATTCCTCACTGTTCATAAGTAACAATTAATAACATACTTTATTGTTCATGACATTACTGACATACCTCATTGTTCAAGACATTACTGACATCTCTCATTGTTCATGAGTAACAATTAATAACATACTTTATTGTTCATGACATTATTGACATACCTCATTGTTCATGACATTACTGACATATCTCATTGTTCATGACATTACTGACATATCTCATTGTTCATGACATTACTGACATACCTCATTGTTCATGACATTACTGACATACTTCATTGTTCATGACATTATTGAGATACCTCATTGTTCATGAGTAACAATTAATAACATACTTTATTGTTCATGCCATTACTGACATACCTCATTGTTCATGACATTACTGACATATCTCATTGTTCATGACATTACTGACATATCTCATTGTTCATGACATTACTGACATACCTCATTGTTCATGACATTACTGACATACTTCATTGTTCATGACATTATTGAGATACCTCATTGTTCATGAGTAACAATTAATAACATACTTTATTGTTCATGCCATTACTGACATACCTCATTGTTCATGACATTACTGACATATCTCATTGTTCATGACATTACTGACATATCTCATTGTTCATGACATTACTGACATATCTCATTGTTCATGACATTACTGACATACCTCATTGTTCATGACATTACTGACATACTTCATTGTTCATGACATTATTGAGATACCTCATTGTTCATGAGTAACAATTAATAACATACTTTATTGTTCATGCCATTACTGACATACCTCATTGTTCATGACATTACTGACATATCTCATTGTTCATGACATTACTGACATATCTCATTGTTCATGACATTACTGACATACCTCATTGTTCATGACATTACTGACATACTTCATTGTTCATGACATTATTGAGATACCTCATTGTTCATGAGTAACAATTAATAACACCCCATTGTTCATGAGTAACCATTACTACCATAACTCATCCTGACCACTTCCTGAAGGCCGAACACGTGAGTTTATGCATGCTTTTCATTTCATTCAATAGACAGTAGATGACCTATCAACTATTTATCTCACAATTACATCCGTGGCCCTCTTCCATGATGAGTGAGCTGGCTACATATGCATGACAGTACATTCACATCAACCGTGCATTCTTAGATTCTGTTTGTTAGCGCATGCACGACTAACATCAAACCATCTTGACCCGAGTCGTTGGGCATCAATAGTGTGAAGTAATTCTTGGAAATGCCATCTTGGTATTTGGTATGTTGTTGATGTTGTTTGTTGTTTAACGCCACACTCAGCAATATTTAAGCTACACGACGGCGGTCTGTAAATGATCGAGTCTGGACCAGACAATCCAGAGATTGACATCATGTGCATTGATCCACGCAATTTGGATACGATGTCATGCTTCAACCAAGTCAGCGAGCCTGACCACCCTATCCCGTTAGTCGCCTCTTTCGACAAGCATAGTCGCCTTTTACGGCGGGCATGGGTTGCTGAAGACCTATTCTACCCCGGATGTTCACGGGTTGTGTTTGGTATGTACCACATGGGGTTATCGTCTATTACAGCTTCTGTGAAGGTTACAATTTAATATTTCACAGGAAACGAGCTACTGGCATGAGGGGACCTAGCTTATGCCGAAAGATAATTAATATCCCGATGACATCATGGGAATACAGGTTGTCGTGATATCTTACGTTAGCGGGACGGATCGATGACGTGGGTCGGGACGTGGGAGTGAATGGAGGCCGGGAAAGTGGGCGGGGGCGTGGATCGGGTACGCGGGCAGGGACGTGGGTGAGGGCGTGGGCGGGGACGTGGGTGAGGGTATAGGCGGGGACGCGGGTGAGGGCCTGGGCGGGGACGCGGGTTGAGGGTATGGGTGGGGACGTGGGTTGGGGTTGTGAGTGAGGGGATTGGTGGGGTTCGTTGGCGGAAGACGTGAGTGGGTGTGTGGGGGATGTAGGGTGTGTGGGGGGTGTAGGGTGTGTAGGGTGTGTAAAATGGGATGGCGGTTTCTGTACAGGATGACACGTAATTAGAGGGTGCCAAAGTATGGTACAATATTTACAGCGAACTTCCACATACAAGAATGGTTTATAATAAAAAAATTGTCAAACGCACGTTCCTCTATCTTACTCATCTCAAAATAAGTATATTGTAATTCACCGAAATTGTACATTGGACAAGGATTGCAGATCGAAACTGAGGGAAGACCGTCCCGTCATATTTTCGTCCAAAAGCGGTATCTGTTCTCTTTTAGGATCTTGTAACCGTCCTTGAAGTTCACATCCGAGGGTTGGTGATCAAAGTGGAAATTCTACGAGGATATTTACTGTCAGATCTACGGTGTTAATTTCATCATTTCATGCATGAACACGCCATTTTAAACACGTAGTCCATGAGTAAAATACGCAGTGCACATCAACCCGTGTTTGCACTCACATACATGTCGTTGATCACTCACGTAGCGCTCTAGCTTTGACTATCTCAATTAGAGTTACTTCCCTTTATGAAATGAGATTTTTAAAATGGAGCGAGTTAAAATAGCTTACCTAAAGAGCGATGAGTTTTAAAATGGAACTACGCAGCATAAGGATTATGCTGTATAGTCATAGTCGTTTGAAAAGTTTATCCTTTTAATTGTTTGCTGAATCCAGTGTTTTCCAATAAACTGTGGATTCTATCTTTTGGAAAAGGTCGTTATATTAAATTCAGCGATATCAATTTACGTATCGAGAACAATAACGAGTGTTAAATCGCCCATGTACTTGTATGGCCCTGTCATTTACGGCGCTTGAATTCATTGTGCAGAATTGCGTCCCTTAGACGTGCCAGGAACCTACGATCGTAGACTCGCATCGCATTTTCTAAGTATTATTTTCAAGGTTTGTCAAGACAATACCCGTGCTCGTGGGTTTCACGAAAGTGGTAAGCGACTAAGAACTGATTTACGCCGATTTTTCTCCCACATCAAACTGCCGTGATATAAGCTGTTCAATGCGGCGTTAAACAAAACTCACTTACCTATATGTTTTCCTTCACTTGTCCGAAGATCTTGACGAAACTGATGACCGGCGAGAACATCGGGTCAAGTGTATCCCTCTTTGAGGATTACGACGCTGGAGTGACGGCGGTAGTGGAGTGGGCCGCATCGTCAACCGCCGTCTTGGAGAAAGATGGCCGTGCCAAACTGACCCTAATGAGACACGGCAACATTAACAACAAGGTGCTGATCAGGTGAGTTAAACAGATGCTCCAGCCGACCATATTCCCCGACAACACGGGACCGTGAAGATTCCGGGGTAGAATAGGTCTTAAGAACCCATACTTGCCGTAAAAGGCGAGTATGCTTGTCGTAAAAGGCGACTAACGGGATCGGGTGGTCAGGTTCGCTGACTTGGTTGATACATGTCATCGATCCCAATTGCGTGAATCGATGCTCATGATGTCAATCACTGGATTGTCTGGTCCAGACTCGATTATTTCACAGACCGCCGTCATATAGCTGGTATATTGCTGAGTGCGGCGTTAAACAACAAACAATCAAGCAAACAATCATATGACGAGTGAAAGTTTCACATCACCAAGAACGTGAATGTTTCTAGGTCAGAATAGTAACCCAGCATGTGACTACAATAGAGATCGGATGGCCACAATGTACGCATTGAGCCCTGTCGGTTTTGGTCGTTTCCGGTTCTATCAATCACTGTTTGCTTGACCATGCATGTGTTTTGACAGGCGGACGTGAGATTCATTATCCCCGATCCGATACAGCTTTGCCCATCTTCCATAGGCAGGGGAGTTAACTGAGTATACAAATCCAGTTTCCACCCTTGCCGAACTAGGCTGGAATTACGGAGTTACATTTTGGCTGGACTAACGAGTCTAGGCATAGTCCAATCAAAATCGCGTACCGAAATCGACACCCGGCTCGTTAACTGAAGTCGAAAATTGGTCTATCGCTGGATTTGCAAAGCATGTGTACCGTCAACATACCTTCAACAGAAATAATTAAATTCTTTTCACGATTTTAATCAAGGTGCTCACGTGATTTGATGCACTCAAGTAAGACCTGTTTTGTTACATTATAGATCTTTGTCAACCTTCTCTGATCCCCACAAGTAAGAACCGGGTTAGAATTGGTCTTCAGCAACCCATGCTTGTCTAAAGAGGCGACTAAACGGATCGGGTGATCAGGCTCGCTTGCTTGGTTGATGCATGGCATCGTATCAATTGCGTAGGATGCTCATGTTGTCAGTCACTGGGATGTCTGATCCAGACTAGATTATTTACACACCGCCGTCATATAGCTGGAATATTGCTGAATTTCGGCGTTAAACAACAACAAACAAACAAACAAATAAGCCACGAGGACCAGGTTGTTTTCCTAATTGTTCACGTTTCCCTAATTTCTCCCTCTCTGCCTTATCGCATCCCTCCCTCATTCCCCCACTCACTCACTCTTGCAGGGTTGAGACCATTGATGGGACAGCGGAGGCCAATTCCGACTACAAGCCCTTCAAGGAGACGATCGTGTTTCGGCCGGAAGAGACCACGAAACAAATCGACATCGAGATCATTGATGACAATGATTGGGAGCCGGACGAGGTTTTCTTCGTGAGACTGACGGCCGAGTCCGACCAACAGGCCCGGGTAGGGAAGAGATCGGTCACACAAATCACCATCCTCAACGATGACGGTGAGTCCAGGCCCGACTCCACATGGTATTGTAGAATCCCGTGCTTTTCTCGCCTCCGTTGTCTAGTGGTAGAGCGTCCGCCCGGAGAGCGGAAGTTCCGGGTTTCGATCCCCGGCCGCGTCATACCAAAAGACGTTAAAAGACGGTACTTGTTATTACCCTGTCTGGCATCAGGGGGCTAAAACAGGGACAGGTCATCTCGGAGTCAGTATACTGTGTCTGGGTGGGGTATGGTATCTCAGTGAGCTAGCACTATAAATCGACATCAGTCCGGACTAGTACAAGCAGCCATATACACAAACACTCACGTGGATGCACGTCGCTATATAAGTGCAATAACCTTGGACGCGACGTTACACCTAACTTCACTTCACCGTGCTTGTGGTAAGGGCGACTAACGGGATCGGGTGGTCAGGCTGACTGACTTGGTTGATACATGTCATCGATCCCAATTGCGTGGATGGATGCTCATGATGTCAATCACTGGATTGTCTGGTCCAGACTCGATTATTTCACAGACCGCCGTCATATAGCTGGTATATTGCTGAGTGCGGCGTTAAACGACAAACAAACAAGCAAACAATCATATGACGAGTGAAAGTTTCACATCACCAAGAACGTGAATGTTTCTAGGTCAGAATAGTTACCCAGATCGATGCTCATGATGTCAATCACAGGATCAATGCCTACCACATTCATTAATTATTCAATTCGATCAATAGATATCCAAACAACTTCGATTTGGTTGTATTTTTCAAGCTCTGCCAATCAGGTAGGTTCTGTTAACAAGGAACCATGTGACGTCATCTATTGTATGATAGACGTCATAGGATTCCAGAGTGACATTATGTCTGTATCAAAACTGCATGGTTCACGCAAGCTATGGAAAATTGTCGAAATCATTTGTTTTTTACAATGTCGATAGATAATATGTGTTTTCAGATTTGCTGATGCCGAATACCGGAAAAATCTAAAGGCCTAGTGGTTAAAGCCTTTGCCCGTCACGGTGAAGACCCGGGTTCGATTCCCCATATGGGCACAATATGTGAAGCCCATTTCTGGTGTCCCCCGCCATGATATTGCTTGAATATTGCTAAAAGCGGCATAAAAACCACCTCTCACTCAAAGGGGCCGTGGGGTATCCTAGTGGTTAAAGCTGTGAAATCCATTTCCGATGTCCTCCGCCGTGATACAGCTTGAATATTGCTCAAAGCGTAGTAGACCGCCTCCGTGGTCTTGTGGTAGAGCGTCCGCCCGGAGAGCGGAAGGTCCAGGGTTCGATCCCGGGCCGCGTCATACAAAAAGACGTTAAAAGATTGTACTTGTTGTTACCCTGTCTGGCGCTCGGCATTAAGGGGCTAAAACAAGAACTGGTCGGCTCGGAGTCAGTATACTGTGTCTGAGTGGGGTATCCATGTTAAACTGCGGCATGGTATCTCAGTGAGCTAGCACTATAAATCGGCATCAGTCCGGACTAGTACAAGCAGCCACACACACATACACGTGCATGCACGTCGCTATATAAGTGCAATAATCTTGGACGCGACGTTAAACCCAATTTCACCTCACCAAAGCGTAGTAAAACCCAACTCACTCACTCCTAATTCTACATTTACATCGGCATGTTTTTATTCTAGATCCGGGCGTGTTTGGGTTCGCCAAGCCGAGCTTTGTGTTCAAGGAGAGCGCTGGGCGGGCCATGATCCCTGTGGAGAGGTCTAACGGAGCGGACGGGCGCGTGGTTGTGGGGTGGAAGACAAAGGACATGACAGCCATCAGCAGCAGGGACTACATCGGCGGCAAGGGGGAGCTGGAGTTCCAGCACGGGGAGACAACTAAATACATCGCGATAGATATCATTGACGATCAGGTAGGCTGATGAAACGCACATAAAATCTTTTCTTTTTTCCTCATGGCAGCAAAGCGTGGAGTCGTCCCGCAGATGACACCCTTTCCATGTCAGCTTTCTGACGGGGTTAACGTCTACGGTTATATTGACAGGGCATCCAACTCCGTATCAGAACGTCCGTCGTTCGAATCCCATCACGGGATTCGTAATTGTTTATACTTTTATGGCCGATACATCGTTATATCACATAATTTGTCCAATAGCTAGCCTAGCATACATACCCTGAAACAAAAAATACCTGAAATCTCCAAAGCGAGTCAACAATACTTTGGCAAGTCTAGATTTCTTTAGTTTTTGAAGATGAAGAGATTTTATAAGCTCCTTTCAATTATATATTTTAAGACAATTTAACAAATGAAAACAATGAATATATTTACATGCTAGAGACTGAGGGTTAATCTAGCCAATATCTTGCACAATATTGTTCCTAGATTTGAATTTTTGCGATGACAAGATGATTATTTTTAAAAAGTCATGAAAACACTTTCATAGGATCTTAATTTGTATTTCATTGTTGCTTCGACATAAGATCAGTCGGACAAAACAGGGGCCGGTTTCACAAAGCGTTCTTAGCACTAAGACTGTCGTAACTCCCGTACTTTAACATAGACGTACGATACTCACATCGTTGACACCGCTTTGTGGAACGTTACAAATCATTATAACCACTGCCTGATAAACATTATGAAAATTAAACTGCACCAGAAATAATAAGTTTGTGTTCATACCTTGATCGGGGTGGGGAATTTGAATAATATTATATAAAGTCCCCCTCATCGCCCGACGTCTGTAACATTGATCACCACAACCGAAGACCTACATTCACTGCCAGGAAAAAGAAACTATACACATGAAAATAAAATTGGATTTGAAGCGAATTTTACAAACGTTATCAAAACTTTACAAAGACGAAATAGTGCTACCTTAAGGTTTGTTTGTTTGTTGTTTAACGCTGCACTCAGCAATATTCCAGCTATATGACGGCGGTCTATAAATAATCGAGTTTGGACAAGACAATCCAGTGATTGACATCATGAGCAACGATCAACCAAATCAGCGAGCCTGACCACCCGATCCCGTTAGCCGCCTATAACGACACGCACAGTAGCATTTTACGGCAAGCATGAGTTGCTTAAGACCTTAAGGTCCAAAACACGACTATGGTACCCGTATCAAATACATCGAAAAACCATTTCTTGTTTGTTTCATTTTATCCTCCCGAAAAAATGGGTGTATCCTTTCTTTTGCTGGGCAATTTATTTTTCAAGTAATACCCTGTGCAGTTCGAACTCTTCAATGTCTCCGTCAGATGACCAGTTGGCACGTGTTGAATGAAGACGACAGATTGTCTTCAGTGGTTTCTAATGTGGCCTTATGATTTCTGTAATGTTTGTAGCGTGTGAGAGAATTCGTTTACTTGGAACAGAAAATAATGATCAATATCAAAGATCCCCTTGTTCTGATGCCAATCAGAGAAGAGTGAACTGGGTGTTTATGTCATTAACCTTCTTTTGTCTCAGAACTTCGAGAAGGACGAGCATTTTGAAATCCAGCTGACCGATGTCGTCCCCGACGGCGCTAGGATCGGACGTCTGAAGAGGACTGTTGTCACCATCATGAACGATGATGGTTCGTCCTCACAAATTTTCATCCATATGAATTAAATACGATATTTGTTTTACATATAACACGCTTTCTTCTGATAAAGTATCATCATATTTTTTATATGTCCTGTCTTAAGCTGTATTGGCGGCGCATCCCTTTCTCAGTTGTGATTCTTGCACAATTAGCAGATCGGCAGACAGAGAATCGTAGGAAGCTTGCCAAAATTCACGATTGAATCTCTAAAGTCCAAACATGTTGCAAAATTTATTAATATTCAAAATGTCGGAGAGTCTTGAGAGAAACATTATCAATCGATATCCTTCCGAAGCTTGGAATGAGACGATTCTGATCTAAGGGAGATAATTTGTAAGATTGATTTGATTTTTATTCGTTTCCTCATCATGAAACTTAATGCAGCCATATCAAGTATATAATAATATTGTAATATATCCATATCCTCGATTACCTAAAGTATCACATGTATCTCCATTCTATCATGATAAATACCCTGCACCTCTAGCCTCGATTTGAGTTCGGTAGTATGTCACGAAGGTAAAATAATACGTCCAGTCAAATTACTCTTTGATTGTTAAACGAGGAGAATTCACCAGGAGACGACTCGACATGCCGTCTCAAATACAACCGAGAACCCTCCTCCTGTCTGAGTATTAAGATAATTTATTGAACAAATTCCGTCTAAAATATAAGGGGGCAGATGTGGCCCAGTCGTCTAGAATGAGACTGGAACCACACAATTTTGATATGTATGTCACTGCATAGGCATGGAGATACGGGGGCGCGGGTGGCCCAGTCGTCTAAGGCGCCGCGATTCGCTGTGCAGAGTTGCGTCCCTTGGGCACGCCAGAAACCTATGATTGTGGGTTCGAATCTCGGTTCGCCCCGATTATGTTTCTAGGTTTGTCAGCACCATACCCGTGCTCGTGGGTTTCACCGAAGTGGTAAACGTCAGACCTGCATCACTTCGGGCTTTCCTCCCACATTAAACAGCTCATATGACTGGAAAACTGTTAAAAGCGGCGTTGAACCCAACTCACGCACTCTAAAATTTATTTGATAACAGTCTTCTGATTCGATTAAGTAAATCGAGTGCTCGCTCGGTCGAGGCCGCAATTTTGAGCGTAGCGCTACATGTATGATGGCCAAGCGCTTAAACGGGCACAGTGGCTAATTGAAGATTATACTTGGGTATGCGTTCAGAGTGAGTGAGTGAGTAATGCGTCGGCATTATTTCAGCCATATAGCGACATCGTCATATTCGAAATTGTCGACACACTTCCGAGGTGGACCCGTCTGTCGTTTTGTCGTCGTAACAACAATATGTACATGATGAGACAAGTGAAGATCCGGGGTAGAATAGGTCTTCAGCAACCCATGCTTGCCGTAAAAGGCGACTATGCTTGTCGTAAGAAGCGAATAACGGGATCGGGTGGTCAGGCTCGCTGAAGCATGTCATCGTATCCCAATTGGCTAGATAGATGCTCACGATGTCAATCACTGGATTGTCTGGTCCAAACTCGATTATTTACACAGACCGCCGTCATATAGCCTAACTATTGCTGAGTGCGGCTTTAAACAACAAACAAACAAACAAACGGACACGATGTATTCATTATACATGACTCCATAGGAAAGTCAACGATACCATACAATATGCGGTACATTAACGTTTGAGAACATATTCTCATGTTTAGGATCCTGTTATACTATTAAATTAAGGGAATGACAGGTGACAAAACATTTGAGTAAACGTCAGCCGTTTAAACCTGTATATACTTTAGGTGGTAAAAAATTAAAATATCTGTCGTTGGTTGATGTTGGTTTTACATTTCATATTTGTTGTTTCCTGTGTAACCTGGCTTCAGTGTGTTATCATCCCTTTCATTTCAACCAGAGTTCACTGGGGTGGTGTCACGTGTTGTCAATCTGACGAACGCCAACCTCGACTCCCTCAAGGTGTCGACGACGACGTGGGGGCAGCAGTTTGAAGAAGCCATGAATGTTAATGGCGGGGACGTCGAAAACGCCAACATCTTCGACTACGTCATGCACTTCCTCACTTTTGGCTTCAAGGTATGAATGATGTGGTGGGTGGGGGTTAGCGTAGTGGTTAAAGCCGTCGCTAATGACGCCGAAGTCCCGGGTTCGATTCCGACATGGATACAATGTGCGAAGCCCATTGCTGGTGTACACCGTCGTGCTATTGCTGGAATATTGCTAGAAGCGGCGTAAAATCATACTCACTCTGAATGATATTTTAACGCCACAGCAATATCCCAGCAATATGATGGTGGTATGTAAGTAATGGACCAGACAATCCAGTGACTAACATGGCGCTCTTCCATCCTCACAATTATGATACATATTCTTGCAGCTATCTGACATCGGTTAGTAAATAATGTCCCTTCAGTCAGACAAACCAGTGATTGAAAGCATGAGCAACTATCTACGCTATTGGTTTACGATGACGATGAGTTTATGACCACTCCATCATTTTATTTTGCTCTTACAGTGAGTGAGTGAGAATGATTTTACGCCGCCGTTAGCAATATTCCAGCAATATCACGGCGGGGGACACCAGAAATGGGCTTCACACATTGTATCCATGTCGGGAATGGAACCTGGGTCTTCGGCGTGACGAGCGAACGCTTTTACCATTAGGCTACCCGACCGACCCCTCTGCTCTAACAACAAACATGATGTGCCGGCGGCGAGGGATGTTTCTCATACCTCCAAACGCTTCTTATCCCCAGACGTTCCTCATTCCTCACTACCATTGTATGACATACACAGACTGGCCACAGTCATAGCTATGCTCGCTTTGTGGAACGGGGCTCTGGCCAGTACCATGTTATTTACAGGTCACTGTGTCTGGACTGTTGCTGAATGAGGCGTTTCACAACATGCGTTCACCTTACAAAGACACCTGCTCTTGTTGTTGTTACTTTATGTTTGGGTCCCGGGTCCCGGTCGTCTACGGTGCCGCAATTTGCTTTGCAGAGTTGCGTCCCTTAGGCGTGCCAGAAACCGATCTTCGTCGGTTCGATTCCCAGATTTCCATGGTTATGCTGCTACGTTCGTCAGCACCATACCCTAGGCCGTGGGAAGTTGTCTGTGATATGACCCCCCCTCACACACACACACACACGCACACGCACGCACGCACGAACGCACGCACAGAGGAAGCTAATACTTATAACTGAAATTCTCCAACTCACCCATTACTTGATGAAGATAAGCGCTTGAGAGTCCAACGTTAGACATCTTCGATACAAAATGTCACGTGTCATTTTCCAGGTGATCTTCGCCTGCATCCCGCCCCCCTCCATCTGGGGCGGCTGGCTGTGTTTCTTCGTCTCGCTGGGCGCCGTCGGCGTGCTGACGGCCATTGTCGGGGATCTGGCCGGCCTTTTTGGCTGCCTGGTCGGACTGAAGGACACAGTCACCGCCATTACATTCGTCGCCCTGGGAACCAGCTTGCCCGATCTGTTCGCCAGTAAACAAGCTGCTCTACAGGAGGAGACTGCTGACAACTCCATCGGGAACGTCACCGGTAGCAACTCCGTCAACGTGTTCCTCGGCCTTGGCCTTTCCTGGGTGATCGCTGCCGTCTATTGGACGTCACAGGTAACGCGTGTTTTCAAAAATATTGTTATTTGTGTTGTACCATATATCTACACAGTAATCTCTTATCGGGGGGTGGGGACAAGTGGGGATAGGGGTTCAAGTAGTCTGAAGTATCGCAATTCTTTGCCTCCCTTAGTTGTGCCAGGATACGCTGATGGTTTGGTTACAAAATCATTATTATTATGACCCTTCGCCTATCGATACCTTACCCTTGCTCATAAATTTCACAAAGGTGGTTAACGTCTAAGACCTGCATCGTTTTGATGTTCGTCTACTTTCAGCTAACACGCTGCCTTTTACTGAAAGGAAAGCCTTAACAGTTTTAAACTCACTTTGCAAACTCAAAGTGCATGCTGTATATCAATATACCAGTGACGAGAACCCAAATTAATAATTACACATCGATAATGTTCCACCGCTAATTACAACGCTCATACATTGGATGCAATACAACACTGTGGACCCCAGCAACTCCTCGGACCCGTAACGTCACGATTTAAATGTCATTGAAACTAGGAACCACATAAATCACATTTTTGTTCATTTTTCAGGGCAAGACATTCGAGGTACCAGCCGGTTCCCTCAGCTTCAGTGTCACCTTGTACACCGTCTGTGCTGTTCTGGCTTTGGGGCTGTTGGTCCTCCGTCGGGTTGTGGGCAAATTCGGTAAGGCGGAGTTGGGCGGAAGTAAGATTCCGAAGATTCTATGCGCGGTGTTCCTGGTGTTCCTGTGGGTGTTCTACATCATCATGTCATCCCTGCAGGCCTATGGGCACATCAAAGCCTTCTAGAACACGTATCAAGAAGCGCCCATGTGCTTTTGACGAATCCCAGCGCGCATGTGCATGACCACAGACTATGACAATGGCAGCCTATGAAGAACAACCCAATCCTTTTGCATCTCGTTTGCATATATCCCAAGGGCAGATCCAGCATATTTAAAAGGGAGGGATCCCGCCTCTGGATCCGCCTGTGTATCACAATGATCTCCTTGTAGTCCATCTTCCCGAGGCAAGAAAGTTAACTGACTATAAAAGTCCAGTTGAAACTGGATTTTTGAAGTCAGTTAACTCTCTTGCCTAGGGAAGATGCTTGTAATCCAGTAGATGAGATGTTCAGTCGGGATTAAAACGTCCGCATCCAGATCTGATTATGATTGGCTAGAATAACCTTGTCTGTGCTTCAACAGTCTCCATGGCGGGCTGTAGTGAATACTCACCTATAGAAGCTCTTTAAATGATAACATCAACACCTTATAGTATACTGTGGACTGATTCTGTGAGTGTGGGCTTTCGGATTTCATTCTTTGTATTTGTTTGGACTTGTTCTTTATATTTTTTTATAAAATTATTAATATTCACAGGGCATTGTCAGGTTTTCTTGGTTTCTCAACACAGCACCGTATTTTCAATCCTGTCAGTATTAATGAATCTGTTATTCACACTACCAAATATTTACGTCTGAATGTTGACTGTCTAGGATAATATGAAATGTATACAGTTCAACTTTTGATAGGGATATTTTGAGTGTCTTCTACGGGAATCTACATGGCTTGCTAGGCTATGTTGTCATTAAACTGATGCATATTCAGCATCGTTTAAATAAAATAAATAAATGTAGCTGTATGACATATCTTAGTAACCCTGTCATCAGTTGAGTACTATTCCTGTTTATATATACAAATTTGGGTGTGTCTTCAAGACGTCAGTCAACATACGCTTCTACAACGCCAATCACTAGAATAAACCATATCTATATTTAATATAAGTTAAGGACCACCTGATTCTTTCATATTAATATTGTTAATTTGTCATGCCGGATAGTGCTTAACTTGTTTTTGAGTAGTACAGAGTTAGTGATTGAGTCTTTAATAGTTCAAAACAGGGCGAGTTGTAGATCAACTATTGTGACTTTGCTGACATGTTCAGTATCGTGACCCCATATTCCCGGACCTCGTTTATCCGAACACCAGCTTTCCGGACCTTATTCAGTAGAAAGTATAACTGACATTTCTTCATACCAGTAATTCGTTACTCCGGACAGTTTCGCTGGGAACAACGTCCGAATAAACGGGGTGCAACTGTATAGTTGAATTAATAAAACACTCCAATGTTCAATGCGATTTTACTGGGAACGGCGTCCGAATAAACGGGGTTCAAGTGTATAGTTGAATTAATAAAACACCCCAATGTTCAATGCGATTTTACTGGGAACGGCGTCAGAATAAACGGGGTTCAAGTGTACAGTTGAATTAATAAAACACTCCAATGTTCAATGCGATTTTACTGGGAACGGCGTCCGAATAAACGGGGTTCAACTGTATAGTTCAATTGGTAAAACACTTCAATGTTCAATGCGATTTTACTGGGAACGGCGTCCGAATAACCGGGGTTCAACTGTATAGTTGAATCAATAAAACACTCCAATGTTCAATGCGAATTTACTGGGAACGGCGTCCGAATAAACGGGATTCAACTGTATAGTTGAAATAATAAAACACTCCAATGTTCAATGCGATTTTACTGGGAACGGCGTCCGAATAAACGGGGTTCAAGTGTATAGTTGAATTAAAAAAACACTGCAAAATAATTCACTGAATAGACTCACGACACCCAATCTATGATTCGTTACCAAATTCGTGGTTTTGGGGTTGTTTCATATGTTATATTACAAACTGCAGTCATAACCGTAACTAAATAGCACGAAATGCCTTTATTTTGGGCGTCTTACTACTACTAATAAGTACATGGTGTATTTTATTTGGATTAATTATCGTTATGTTCAATAACTTGTTAATTAAAAATAAATAAATCTCAATCTTCTATTTCACACCTTGTGTACATATTTATACATATTTGGTTACATTAGCCAGTGCATGTCCTGAATATTGCCATAACTGTTTAAATCTGTGAGAAAGAATTGCATAGGGAACAATGGTGACCTTTGGTGTAGTTGTTGGAATTTGTGATAGCAAGATGAAATGTGTTCTAAGTTGATCGCTGTGAGAGCCTACACGTTAGAAATGTTTGTTTTTTTATTTTAGTGTTTTTGTGCGTTAGTGTGAGATCTTCACAAGTTTGTCCGTACTCTTAGCTGAAGGGATAATTATTCACACAGTGTTCAATTACAAGATATAATGTTAAATATGAATTATATTTTCCTGTAAATTATTGTTTATTCGTGGATTTAATTACATTTTAAAACTGTTGCAGACTTCCCAAAGCGCTGTTTTCATGAGCGGATACCCTATATCTTGTTATAATTGTTATGTCATGTGATGTGATACCAAAGAATCTCAACATGTTTGTTATGTATTAATATTGAAATCAGCTATTTATGTTAGTTATTTTCGTATTTGTTACATATTTATATCGCTATAGTGTATTCCTGCTAGTAAGTGCTACATGTTGATAATTATATATCTGTTCTTCTTACCAGTTGATAATTATATATCTGTTCTTCTACCAGTCCTAGTGTATCTTTCAGAAGTTGTTGCTGTTTTTTTATGATCTTGCCTTTTTTCGCTGTGGGCATTATATCGGGTAATATAAATTGGACAGTTGCTTTTTGGAATGTTAAAGGTCAAGGTCAAGGTAAATCCAGAGTGTCAACACACTCGCGCAAATTGGCCATTTCGTGACGAATATTATTTGTTATTGTGCCAGCGTCGCCCAATATGTTTCTGCTTACCTAATATGACACGGTATAAGGTAACTAAAGATACCATAACGAATTTATAATACACGATCTGGTATCCATGTCGCATGTCATGTCAAAATGAAAACTTGTCGCCTGCAACCGTTGAGGTTAAGGGTCAAAGGGAGACTACTCTTCAAACATTGTTGACAATTTTGACTATAATCTGTATCAATAAAGACACGAACATGATCTAAAAAAAGATAAATGTCCTTGCACTTCACAATTAATGACAGAAAAACACAAAACAGTGTCGAATAACGACTTTCTGTACCAGAATTCTCATGTGAAATATGTGAAGTGGGGTGTTGGAAAATCCAAAATGGCTGTTACTGACGGTATACGGGCTCATGTTGGGTCTGCTCTCTGATTGGCCAATCTCACTTTGAGGCATAATAAAGCTTGTTATACCATGACCCTTTAGACACATGTTCAACTGCGGTACTGTCTCGAATGAGAACATAGCTGATTATCTTGAATCTCTTTGAAGCGTAGAACGTAATGTGTGTTTTGTTGTTGAACGTCACACTCAGCACTATTCCAGCTATATGACGGCGGCCTGTAAATGATAAAGTCTGTACCAGACAATTCAATGATTGATATTGTGAGCAAACTAGTCACCTAGCCACACCGACCGATCCACCTCTTACGACCAGCCTCCAAACCCAGAATCCCCACAGGGGAAAACGTGAATAAATATATCGTCTGTTGGCAAACGATCTCAACGGCAATTTCTATTTTTCACAAGTCCTACCTGCGGTCACGTGCCACACAGGGCAGACACATTGAACGGCAAACCGGAAAAGTGGCAGCTGCCTTCTGGGAATGTTAAAGGTCAAGGTCCAGACCTTCATAAAAAAATGTTTCCATTTAACAGATTAGTGCTTTAATGCAATATGCCTACTCCAGTGTTGCCCGAGGTATTATGTATTTAGCGGAATAAACCGAGTAGTTCCGAGTGATTAAGACCGATCACTCCAACAAGAATAATTCCCTGGGAAATATTTCCTCAAGATTTTTTAACTTACAAAAATCCAACATACATACTAGTGATTATGATAAATGTAGCTATCCGTTCAGTATTTTCCTATTCTTTATAATGTATGATATATAATATTGTATACATTACTTCATTGATTTATGTTTCCGCCCTTGCAAGCCTGTTCGTTGAAGCAGCTGAGGCTGACATATCTGTGATATCTCGGACAGCTGTTCTGTGTCCTCCTCGTGTGACGACATTCTGTACACTTGTACATGGAGTATACACCTGTGTGTTAAACTTGTCATTCTGTAAAATAGAGTATGTAAATGTCAATATAAAGTATCTTCTCCACAAACTGTCGTGTCATTTATGTTTATTAGCGTGTTTAAATGATTTAGATAATTTGATTACTTTTTCGACACATATTAATTCTACAAATCGTTTTCTTAGTAAGTGAGTAATATTATACGCCGTTTTTGGAATATTCAAGCAGTATCATGGCGGGGACAGCCTAAGTGGACTTCACATATTGTACCCCTGAGGGGAATCGAACCCGGTCGTTCGTTGTCACGAGCGAACGCTATAACCACTAGGCTACACCACCGCCCCGCTTTCGTAGCAGATGAACAACAGTTAAGGTGTAATGTATCTCAATTCTGCTGCATTGATTTATCAGTTAAGGGATGACATTTCTTCCAGATCTACTGTACACTAAGTCTCAAAGACCCGTGAAGATCCGGGGGAAAATAGGTCTTCAGCAACCCATCCTTGTCGTAAGAGACGACTAACTGGATCGGGTGATCGGGAGACTTGGTTGGTGCATATCATCGTATCCCAAATGCGTGGATCGATGCTCATGATATCAATCACTGGATTGGTCCATACCCGATTATTTACAGACCGCCGTCATATAGCTGGAATATTGCTTTTAGTAACGTGTATGAGAACGGGTGCCCCGGATGTCTGTGACGCCTTAATTCTCACGACAGAGTCACATTTCTTGGCATATCAGGATCCGCTGGTCATAGGTTCGAATCCCAGATCCATGGTCTGTCTACACCATCACCCGTGACGGTAGGTTTCACCGCAATGGTAACCGTCCACGACTTGTGCCACCTATGATCTTCCAACGATAAGCTGGCACGCCCTGATATAATAAAGATATTGTTCAAAACAACGTTTCCATCGCTTTGTTTTGCACTGAGTAAGTCTCCAGTGCGGGCAAGGAACTGTACACATATTCATAATTTCAAGTGGTGGGTTATTTTTATATTGTATCATAATTATTTGTTCACTGATTGTATTAAAATTGCCTCTAAAGCAGTGTTTTGTGAAAGTGTAACTTGGTATCTAAACATGTGCCTTATATTAATAAACACAATAATAATTGCCAAAAATGACACGAATAAAATTAGTAAGCGCTAATTTGTTTGCTTTTAAAACTTGAAATATGAATATCAGAGAAAAAAGCTGATGCATTTTGAACCGTTTTATTGGAACATTATGATTGATAAAGTGGCGGCCAAAGTAAGTATACAACCATGTTTGATAGTGGCTAAAATGAAACAAACAAGACGTGATTATTCGATGGTGATGTTTCTGATACGGGTATCATAGTTGTGTTTGGGGGCTTAAGTTTGCGGTGTTTCGGCGACTGGTTTCAGTCTAGTAACGTTTAAATTACGTTTGTAAATTTTCTTGGCAAATCCAATTTTCAAGTGTATTCTTTCTTTTGCTCGGCAGATAAAATGGTTGCCAAGTTTCCGGATGTATAGTATTTCCATCATGGAAAAGAGTACATAGCAGCAGACAATTTACAAACTGTCAGTGTATATTTAACATTAATTACTAATTACGTATTTTCCATGGTCACAAATGGAGAACCAGATCGATCGTTTTCGAGAATGAGATATTTGGAAGCGCACGTATAATCCCAACTCACTTCAGCGTTCCCAAGTCTAGAGTGGTATTGGGAGCTTTGCGAACACTGTCACGTTAGGTGAACGCCCTCTGGTGGCGAGATTACACGCGATGATAATATCAGGATAAACGGATGCGTGATCCAATCATGACAAAGGTCATAGATAAAAACAACGTTTTATCTTATCACTGTAGGACAAAATGAACGTTGTGAAACTTCTTTTAGGAAATATTTGGTAGCAAATTGCCAGTGTAAATCCTTATACGATTGGCTGGATTTGCGAGATGAAAACCAACACGGTCACTGATGCTCGTTATGTAATTATAGATGAAAATAGCGCAAACAAAGGTGAAATGTCAACGGAGGCAGTTAGCGTAAAGGTAAAAGACTCAAAACTAAGTCCTAGGGATCCCAGGATGTGTCGCCTTTAGGGACAGGTCATTTATCATAGGGGTAGGGGGTAGGGGGTAGGGTTGGATGACATTGTTCTAAGGATCACACATTGCCGACCCCCATTTTATGTAACATTTTATCATGCTCCCCCTCAATGAATGTAACATGGTTTCAATACCCCCCCCCCCCCCCCCTCCCACACACACACACACACACACACTCCGCTAACCATAATAAATGACCAGTCCCTAAATAAAGTTAAAATTTATAAATCATAAATTTGAAGAAATAGAACTATCGCATAAGTTCATGCCTCTCCTTCCTATAGTCGTGACACCCCCCCCCCCCCCCCCCCCCCCCCCACCACCACCACCACCGTATGGCGACCCCCACCCCCTCTCTTTCGCTGTGTCATTTTATCACGACACCCCGTTCCCTCCCCCAAACCGCTGTGAAAAACCCTCTCTTTTTCAAATATCAAATGTCAGTGCGCTTCAGTGGACTGGCGTCCATGATTACTGAGATCAGTATCAACGAAAACGTTTTTCATACAGTGTGTGTTTTCAATGTTTATCCTGGTCATTGTTGTAGCTAAGGGCGCTCGTTTCAACAACACTCGTCAATCACTCTACCCCCATTCTCGTCATCCCTATGGACTGGGTACGTAACAATGCTGGCTTTGGGGTCCATGCATATCACTCTGATTAATGAGTGGAAGATTAATAACTGTAAACATGATACAGAACATCAGTGGAATCCGTCAAACGTTTTTGATAATGCCTTTTGGGAAGATTGGGTTATCTTATCAGAATGTGACTGGAACCACACAATTTTGATATGTATGTCACTGCATAGGCATGGAGATACGGGGGCGCGGGTGGCCCAGTCGTCTAAGGCGCCGCGATTCGCTGTGCAGAGTTGCGTCCCTTGGACACGCCAGAAACCTATGATTGTGGGTTCGAATCTCGGTTCGCCCTGATTATGTTTCTAGGTTTGTCAGCACCATACCCGTGCTCGTGGGTTTCACCGAAGTGGTAAACGTCTGAGACCTGCATCACTTCGGGCTTTCCTCCCACATTAAGCTGACACGCCGTGATATAACTTGAATACTGTTAAAAGCGGCGTTAACCCAGCTCACTCACTCACCAATGGTCTCCAAGGACCAATTATCGCATACTCACCCTTATAGCGCATACGTGATCGCATCATCATTTTCTTTTGCTTGTTTCATTTGAAGAGTGAAGTATTTATCCAAAAATGGTGACTGACTCTTGTGAAAAAATATTTAAAAACACACCATATAAATCACCTTGCTCAAATACAACGTTAGAAGAGACACGCGGGCGGTGTCACGTGACTAATTCACGCGTAAACAAAAATCCAACAACACAATGATGCACATTCAGTTTTTCATAGCTTACTATCTGTCTGTCTTTTCTTTCCCACAATACAAGTCTAAAACATATTTGAACTATTTTTTCCAAAAATGCATAACCCTATATATACTCTACCAAGAAAGAAACACAGAGGTAAATTTCAAGACAGGAAAGCTTTATCATGAATGAAGATAAAGCGAAAAGGAATTACACAGATGTCAAATATCACATGATTAGAGTCAATGGTCAGCTGCACCAAATGACATAACTCAATGTCACTGCAATTGTAACACTGCACTAGACGGTGGCTTTGACGTCAGTATCTGCTGTGACCACCGTTATCGTGTATCACTGCTTGGCATCTCCTGGGCATTGACAGTATAGGTCTCCGGATTCGAGCCTGGGGCATTTTATTTCTTACACAAATTAGTTTCATTAGAAACGTAACAGTAAATTATGGTGCATTACTGCATCAGTCTCCTTCCCATTAGGTTCACGGTTGGCCTTGTCGCCTAAGGAGCCGCAACTCGCTGTGCTGAATCGCCTCCGTTAGGTTCTAGGAAACCTATGATGGGTTCGAATCCCGGTTCGACCCGATTATGTTTCTAGATTCGTCGTTAACGTCCAAGACCTGCACCACTTCGGGCTTCCTCCTTCTTCAAGCTGCCACGGCGTGATATAACTAAAATAGTCTTCATAGCGGCGTTAAAACAAACATCACCCCCTCTTATTGAATAAAGCTGAACTGACATTCTTTTCAAATTGGCGATAAACCAAACTCACTCACTCACCTACCCAATTGCATGACCACACCCACAGAAACATCAGCACCGACACCCACGCCCAACCCAATCACCTCATTCCTTGAAAGAGCCGTGAAGATCCGGGTTAAGATAGGTCTTCAGCAACCCATGCTTGCCGTAAAGGGCGACTGTGCTAAGAGGCGACTAACGGGATCGGGTGGTCAGGCTAGCTGACTTAGTTGATGCATGTCATTGATCCCAATTGCGTGGATCGATGCTCATGATGTCTATCATTGGATTGTCTGGTCCAGACTTGATTATTTACAGACCGCCGTCATATAGCTGGAAAATTACTGAGTGCGGCGTTAAATAACAAACAACAGCAACATTCCGTGCGCTTTAGCTTTTACAGAAGTTAATATCTTAAAGATGATTTAGACGCGTAGTGTGCATTCCTACCAAGCTGCGACCCGTGAAGATCCGGGGTAGAATAGGTCTACAGCAACCCATCTTTGCCGTTAAAGGTGACTATGCTTGTCGTAAAAGGCGACTAAGGGGATCGGGTGGCCAGGCTCGCTGCGTGGATCGATGCTCATGATATCAATCACTGGATTGTCTGGTCCAGGCTCGATTATTTACAGACCGCCGCCATATAGCTGGAAAATTTCTGAGTGCGGCGTTAAACGACAAACAACAGCAACATTCCGTGCGCTTTAGCTTTTACAGAAGTTTATATCTTAAAGATGGTTTAGACGCGTAGTGTGCATTCCTACGAAGCTGCGACCCGTGAAGATCCGGGGTAGAATAGGTCTACAGCAACCCATGCTTGCCGTAAAAGGTGACTTTGCTTGTCGTAAAAGGCGACTAAGGGGATCGGGTGGCCAGGCTCGCTGCGTGGATCGATGCTCAGGAAATTAATCAC